TGTTCACAGCAGCAAGCCGTCCTTTGTTGGGGCCACGCTGGAAAATTCAACCAGTGCATCTGCTGCGAATGGGCCCAAGGTGACTGCAGAAGTTACTGTTCGGCCGTCAATTTTCAGCTCCAACTTTTGACGGAGGGGTGCTGTTGGGGCCACACAGATTGAATTTTGGCAGAAAATTGTCAGCTGAACAGTCAGACAGCCAATCAGCTGCAGTCATCCCCATCTATGCATTATTTCTCATTGGCCGGCTTTCCATGTTTTGCTATGGCAGCTCGATACATACATCAGAACACTCAGCAACGTGATCGCCTCTAGGAGGAAAATGCATGATGACTAAATCATTGTTTCCCTGTTACAAAGCCCTATTCATTATATGCACATAGAAATGTCAGCGCTCCCACACCTTGGCTGTGAAGTCAAGTGGAGGCTAATGCTCTGACATTACTCTGTAAAAGCCAAACTAGTGTATGTCCAGATAAGGACTACAAACAAGGCCCTACACCTCCACCCAGAGCTGTCCTCGCTCCAATGGAGGCCCTTGTAACCAGAACTACAGTCTACTCAACTAGATCACTGCATAGACACTGCAATCATCACCAGAGCTGAAACATGGTATGCCTATCTCTTCCAAATATACCCATAATCCAAGATTCAGGAATTAACAAGATCCCAGAAAACCGGAACCAGGAAAGCAAAAAATTTAATTGAAGTGGATTTGATTCCTCCGGCTTACCCTTTCAGTGGGGCTCCCCCCGTACTGCATAGGGTTACATGCTCATTTTTATGGCTGCAACCAACTAATCGAGAATGAGAATAGTTGTCAACTATTCTCATTCTCGATTAGTTGGTTGGGGGGGTGGGGGGGGAGGGAGAGCGAGAGAGTGGGAGGGAGAGAGAGGGAGGGGGAGAGAGAGGGGGAGAGAGAGGGAAAGGGAGAGGTTTTTTTTAATGCAACTAATCGAAAAAATAAATCAGGCAACTAATCAATTATGAAAATAATCGTTAGCTGCAGCCCTACTTATTTTGTCGACGGGGCTCAAATAAAGCTTTATGACTAGTCTGATCCTTGGTCCAGCAGCAGTCAGCACTCCCCCCTCTTCCCCTCGGCTCCATCTATGCAATGTCCCTCGTCATACTCACATCTAATGCAAGTCAATGGACCTGTATAAGACATTATGTTGTCAGTGGTCCTTAGACTGCCAGAGTCCAGGGAAGAAAAGGGCTGCAGGGACCAGTTTCGTAGCCCGGGGGGAGCCGACAGGACCAAGGATCATGGTACGTAAAACCAGCTTTAACAGTGATCCCCTAGACCAGTGGTGGCGAACCTTGGCACTCCAGCTGTGCCAAAACTACATATCCCAACATGCATCTGCCTCTGGTAGTTATGTCTGCAGCTGTTAGAGCCTTGCAATGCCTCATGGGACTTGTAGTTCCAAAACAGCTGGAGTGCCAAGGTTCGTCATCACTGCCCTAGACAAAAAAAAAACACCCAACATGTAGGAGTTGTTCTTTAAGAAGCCTACCAGGACAGAAATATGGAAGCTACTGCTGCTGACTGGTGTTTGAAGGAGGAAAATCCAGGGGTGTCATCCCGATCCTTGCTTTACTCCATAGTAAGCCAATTAAGCATTAGTTAAGCTGCCCATGCAATGTAACATTTTCTTCATTCAACCTGCGAGCTGAACAAAGAAAATGTGACAAATTCCTCCACCCACACTTACGAGCGTGGATGGAGGAATCTGCCGCTGTCTTCATTGTATCCTGGCAGGGGCCGCCGGCTGCTCTCACACTACCCCATCAATGCCGGCAGCTCATTGGCTGCCAGCTCTGCTCCTTCGAAGATTTTCCAACTGGCTCTTTTGATCAGCTGATTGAGGGATGCCGGCCGGAAGGGTGCCGACAGCAACACCCACTGTGCAAATTTCTGCTGGTTGTTAGGCGCAAAATAATAAAAAGTGTTATTCGTGTTTTTCAGATGCTCCCATTGCAGTTTACTGAGATCATAAAGTGTGATCATGCCTCAAAGACACTGTTCACGTCTGAGCGTTCAGCAACAGTACATGGCTCAGGCGTGAACAGGCACTATAGAATAACATGGAAGTCTGGGTGTCACGTCTTTCTGAAAACGCACTTCAAATCGCTGATTGGGGGTTAAGGTGTGTGGACACCTGATCTGCACACTCTTCTTCCAGGACCCACCATATAGTAAGAGAAGAGAAAACTCCAGAGCCTGAACCTTCAAAAACAAGTATTATATATGTCCCACATTACCCTTCCATTATGATCTCTTTACAGCTGAACTCTGGGAATTTAAAACAAGAATGACCCCCGACCCCCAACCCCCCCCCCGCCACTCATTAGG